TATAGCGAGAGTATGGACAGATCGCTTCATGGAGGGCTTAGGGCCCAAAAGTGCAGCCACCCTTCTAACCAACCTCTAACGCACAAAATTTCACTGCCAGTCTGCAGGTTCCAATTCTAACCAAGATGGCCAAGAATGTACATAAATGAGCGTTCTTCCGCAAAATTGAGTAAATGTATGCAAAAACTGAGTCAAACACGTGCTTAATAAACGACGGTTCGTAACAATAGTATTAGTAAATCGTTCTGAATAATTGAAATTCATAAGTTGGCTGCATTTCTGGGCCCTAACTTTATTCGCAGAAGCATCGGTGAAGGCCTGATGGATTTTCGGAGTTTCACATCTGTCCATACTCTCGCTATACAGGTACTCTAGTAATTTCTATCTCCTTTGTAGAGTGAGTTAAGACAACTCACTTTTGGTTGGGCCTAGAGTCCCTTTATACTGAGAGTCAAGACAATTTGAATCCATTTCTGATTGGTTCCCGTATTTTAGGCCTCCACAATGTCACAAACGGGAATAAAGATTACATTTTCACCAATTGCAAAGATTATAATCTGGAATGGACCGGGGAATTACGGGTTTGGCAAGGAACAAACGGAATGAGAGGAGGAACGGAGAAAGCATAGAGTACAAAGAAAGGCATTTGAGAATGGGCCGATCAAAGATTACGAAAAACTTTCAATTTCTGTAATCTTTATTCCCGTTTGTGACATCCATGAGCCGAATTGTCTTGACTCTCAGTATAAAGGGACTCTAGTTGGGCCGAAAGTGGCCTAAAAAAAAATCCAATTCTGATTGGTTCTCGCTCATGGAGGCCGAAACGAGTGCACCAAGATGGCGGTACCTCGAATGTGAACAAGAATAATGAAAATATTAGGCCTTGTCTCCACGGCGCAACTGTTGAGGGAAGTTGGCGCAACTGTTACGAGTTTGTTGCACTAATCGAAGTTCCCTGTCTCGACGCACAAGCATGTGTTCCTGGAACTTTTAGGCGGGAATATTTGAACAACGTTAATTTTTTTAGGTTAAACGATGTCAATTGAGGTAACTGAACTGATAATTATGAACGGGAGGTGAATATTTTGCGTTATTTCGACCAGGTATAAAACAAAAAACAATAACATAACACAGATATGGATTAAAAGAAAATATATTCGATAAAATTTTATTTTTCTGCTGTAGTGATATGCTACAAACGAAAATGTAAAATTGATACTGAAATGTATATAAATATTTCTAAATAATAACCGCTCCGAAATAAAACACCCGTAATAAACTCCCGCTTCACGTGTAACCAGCGGTTATCAATTCAAAATACGAAGGTAAACAACTGTTGAGGTTCCAGGTTTCTGACCTTGAAAGTTTCTGTTATAAGTGAAACATTTTTGAGAACTTTCTTCCTTCAACAGTTGCGCCACCTTCCCTCAACAGTTGCGCCGTGGAGACAAGGCCTTACCTAATTGTGGTTTATCAAGAGTAAATTGTCATTTCCATCGGTCCAAAATGAAAATAGATTAAGAAATTATTCACAAACCAATCTCATTTTCTTTTAATTGATCAATTTGTAGATGTTGTTGTTTTTGTGTGACAGACATCGCAGGATTCCTGATCCTTATCCCCCAATATCGTTAGTTTGGGTGCACACGTTTCGGCCTCCATGGCCAGCCAAGGCCGGCTGCCAGTCAGCTGATAATCGAGTTGTCTTAACTCTGGGTATAAAGGGACTCTACTCCTTTGTTGTTGTTACTACCGAGATCCGAGTCCGGCAGAGCCGGATAGAAGCTAAATGGCCCGGGCGGCTGGAAGTCGGAAGGGCCCGTAGGGCCAAAAGGCGACGGCCCCCACGGGGGGGTTTGGGGGGGACTCCCCTCACCGGAGGGGGATCTGGGGGGCCTCCCCCGAAAAATTTTAAAAAAATTGACCTGTAAATGCTTCATTTTACACAACTTTTTTGATACTGTATGCTTCAGGGAGCGCTAATTTTCAAGTCCTAAAATGTGCAGGATACGACTCTTTTTTACATTTTATGTTATTTTTTAAGTCAAACAATTGAGTCGAGGCCGTGAAA